GGGCGGGTTCTTTGTTTGTTTGTTTGTTTGTTCAATTTATATCCTGCCTTTTTCCTACAAAGGGCTCAAGGCAGCTTACATCTCCTCCTCCATCTTGTCCCCACAACAACAACCCTGTGAGGTAGGCTGGGCTGAGAGTCTGTAACTCTCAAAGGGTCGTTGAAGGCGAGAGGGCGAGAATAGCCCCTTTGCACACTTCTAGGCCGCTGCCTCATGCCAGACTCTGCTTTGCTGCTGTGTTTGGCTCGCTTTTGCATTTTTCACCACCTTTCACCCCGGGAGTCTTGTCCTGAAAGGCAGCAAACAAATTCGCAAAGAAAGGCTGTGAGGCAGAGCAAAGGGGTCAGAGCTGCGGTTCCAGCCTTGCCGTCAGAATGCCACCTCCAGCCACCTCCCTGTGGCTCTGAACTGCCTCGGTTTGGGGCTTGTTATGAGCTGCTTTATTTTTTTTAAAGGTGGGTTTTAGAGGTCAGCAGTATCTGAAGGCCTGCAGCGCCTGCTTCCCCTTCTAGCAAATCCTGCATGAAGGCAGTGAACTCCTCGGAGCTCTGCCCTCCTCACATTTGCCCTGGTGATGCCCAGCAGCAGGGGATGGGGGGGGGGGGCACGGCTTCGGGGGGCAAAAAAGCTACACATGAAGTTAATCATAGAATCATAGAACAGAAGAGTTGGAAGGGGCCATGAAGGCCATCGGGTCCAGCCCCCTGCTGTTACAGGACACCGGTTCACACCACCCCACTCAGAGGGCTGCCCGGTTTCGCCCTGAATGTCTCTGGTGTGAGAGCCACCCACCTCTCCGGGCAGCTGGTCCCACTGCCCTTTTGCTCTGACAGTGAGGAAGCGGAAGCTTTTCCTGATGTCCAGCCTTAATCTGGGCTGTCGCAGATTGACTTCATTATTCCATGTCCCACACTCTGGGATCAGCAAGGAGAGATCTTGGCCTTCCTCTTTGTGAGAGCCTTGGAGGTCCTTCTAGAGGGATGCCGTGTCCCCCCTCAGTCTTCTCTTCTCAAGGCTGAACATGCCCAGTTCTCTCAGTCTCCTCACAGGGCAGTGTCTCCAAACCCTGAATCACTGTTGTTGCTTAATTCAGAGTAGACCTTCATGGGGTTACGCCAGAAAATGAATGGCCAAGGTAGAGCGGGGCGGCCGTTGCCGACGCAGCTCGATGGAAGGGAGACCCCGGCATGCACCCTCTTGGAGCGTAGGGATGTTCCCATGTGTTCTGCGAACGGCTCAGTGCGCTTTTTCGTGGGTCCTCAAAGGGTGTCCATCGACTGGAGAGCGTGCGCGCGCGTTTGGGGGAGGGGGGGCACTTCCAAGAGTTCCCCACCTTCCTTTGGTGACGTCTTGCCTCCGGGGCGAGGTGGGGTGGGGGTGCGTTGAAGCGCTGCCCATCTGCACTATGAATTAATTACCTAGGAGCAGGATGATCAGCTTTCCCCAGACCAGATTTCGATTTGTGTGCCGTCAAGTAGAAAATTAACATGGACACAGGCCAGAAAAGTTGCACGGCTGAACACGCACTGCAGCTGAGGCGCCGGGAGGGGAGGGGGTCTGGTCCCCAGGAACAGGTGACGACCAAGCCCCCGGCACTTCCGTGATCCCCTTCCGTGGAAACGCAGAGCAAAGCATCGGGCCAGGGCGGCCTTCGCCACCCTCGGCCGTGCTGGCTGGGAATGATGGGTGTCCCAATTCAACACTTTTTTACTGTTCATTGTCTCGTTATCATCCGTCTTTATGAGTTGTGCAAACCAGCCAAAGAGACTCTGCTGCAGGAGGGCAGAAACATGAAAATTATACTAATCCTAATCACGACCCATGGCAAGAGGGCGGACCACGCGCTCGCCTGCCCTTGCATGCCAGAAGCACCCGTTTCTGAACCGGCCGTGATGCGCGGGCCAGTCTGCGGCAGAGGAGGCGATGCATCCTGGCGTTCCACCAGCGCGTTCTTGCTGCAACTCCGGTCCACAAACAGAGACCTGGAGCAGCACGTGGGCCTCGCTTGAGTTCCTGAGCGGAGTTGCGGATTGGTGCCCTGCAGGACGGAGCGGGCAGCTTGCTTCTCGTCGGAGCCAAAGCCCCCCGTGCTTCGGGGATTCCGCAGACTCCACGCCCCCTGGAGCAGCGGCCGTGCTTTGCTCTGGCCCAACGTGGCCTGTTCAGGCAGCGTCCTTCCCCTGTAGTCCGAGCAAGAACTGTCCGCAGCAGCCCCGCCACACGCGGGCCCAGGAAGCACACAGCGAGTGCCCCACCCAGGCCAACACTGCTCTCTCTGACTGGCAGCGGCTTTGTGGGTGGCGCAGAAGGCTTTCGTCGGACCGTCCCAGGATAAATGCACAGCGTCGAAGGGTGGGAGATTCAGGGCAGAGAAAAGGAAAGATGTCTTCCCACAGCACAAAGCGTGGGACAAAGATCGTAGAAACACAGAAACTGAGCGAGTCAGAAGGGTCTCCCGGGCCATCTAGTCTGACCTCCGGGGGCTGGAGCAGCTTCCCGGGAGGAGAGGTTCCGGCCCCTGTGGTTGTTCGGCGCAGAGGAAGGAGAGTAAGAGGAGACATGATGGAGGTGTCCGGAAGGACGCCTGCTCTGGAGCAAGGGGCACGTTTCCCCGCTCTCCCATGACACCCGGACCAGCAGGATCATCCCCTGAAGCTGCTGGGTGGGGAGATCCAGATCAGGTCAAATCAGCAACACGGCGGCATTTAGTTTGGCCCCCTGCCTTGTGAGCCCTGCGTGGTAACCGGAGTGCCGGGGACTGACGCTCAGGCCTTCTGCATGCGGCGCAGGTGAGCTCCCACCCAGCGGTGCTCCCCCCTGTGGCTCCCCATCGCTCGGGGAGATCCCTGCAGGGACCATGGTCGGTTCCCCACCCTGGAAGGGTCTCCCGGGAGCCCTGCACCGGCCAGACACACAACCGGTGGAATTGCTAGCTTGGTGCCTCTGGTACCACTGCGGAGAGAGAAGGAGCCGGCTTGTCAGGCATGCAAAGATTGTGTGAGCTGGGGAAGGAAACGTACGGGGGAGGCTTTGCCGTTGCCCACAGTTCACGCCGGGCTTTCTACTCCACCCCGGCAGTCGGTTCCGTGGGGCTGCGGCAGAGGATGCCTGTCGGTTCTCCCCTGGCGCCTGCTCACTGCAGCTCACGCAGGCTTTGGGGCGCAGGACGTGATCGGCGCCACGTTGGGGTCTCTGCTGGGCTTCTGTGTGTGCCCTGGGAAGCCATCGGAGGCCAGCCCGGGCCCTGCAGATGAAGCGACTGCATCTCATTGATCTCCCAGAGAGGCAGCAATCCTTCATTAACGGCGCCGCGTCTCTGTACCAAGCAGCTCGGCGGGAGGCCGGGGCTGTCAAGGACGGCAGCAGAGAAAGAGGGAAGCCAGATCTGCAGCGACGGCGGTTTAAGCTTGCACCTGTAAATTAAGGCCGCAGCGCCTTGCTTTGTTTTGCAAAAATCCGGTATCGGCCTAATAGTGTCCTCTTGTGAACGACCCGAGGCACCTCCGTAGCTCCCTGTGATCCTCACGACAACCACGCTGTGGGCTGAGGGGGGGGCACTGGCCAAAGCCACCCAGCGGGCTCCGTGGCTGAGCAGGGGCTGGAACCCAGACCGCCCGAGTCCAGCCCTGCACAGCAGCCATCTCAACACACTGGCCCTCGCAATAGCCTGCAGCATTTTCTTACCAGAGCCAAGAATAGTTCTTGGTTGTGAGTGGGGATCTCAGAGGAATCCGCCACAGAGTTCAGATTTCGAAGAATCTGACCTGTGGATTCTGCAGCAGGCCAAATTTCCCAGGTTGTGTGGAATCCCTGATTGTTTGATCCCTTTTTTTTCAAAGTGTATAATATTGCACAACTTATTTATTTATTTGGAAGGCTTCTGTACCGCCCCATTCGCCGAAGCCTCGGGGCGGCTCACAATAATAAATAAATAAGAGCAGTATAAAACAATATGAGTCGACCTGGCCCGAAAAATTATATTAGCAATTAAAATAGCGTTTGAATAAAAAGGTCTTTGCCTGGCGCCGAAAAAGAAATGACGGCACCAGGCGGACCTCTCTGGGGAGCACATTCCATAGATTGTAGCCACAGGAGAATATAAAATATTAAGAACAGTGATCCAAAATGTGTGTTTCCCCCATAGGATAAATCAGGAAAACAGGCGTTTTTCGGCACCTGCATTTGCGGGGGAGGGTGCTCATTTTTTAGGAGTGCAAATTTGCACGTCTGAACTTATTTGTGCAAAATCAGGTTCTAGTGGTGCGAGGAGAGTGGAACGAAAGGCTTCCGGCAACCAGTGGAACATGGATGGAATGGGTTTTGTCACTTTCCCCCTGATGGCTCAGCCCTCCTCCGTGGGCTCGCGAAGGGGTGGCGGAAGGGGAGCGAGACTTCATGGAGACCAATTGCCTCCCCAGTCGGCTCCCCTTCAGTGCGGCCGTTTAATTGTTGCCACGGTAGCCACTCATCCTGGGGAGCAGAGGTAAGGCACAGGTCAAGTGTCTTGCGGAGGCTGGAGCCCATCAGTAATGAGGCTGCAGCTGTGCTGCGGCCGGGGGGCGGATTCTGGGCGGCCCCCTCCGGGCGGCCGTGGCGCTGGATCCGGTTTCTGCAGCAGGGGCTTTGCTTGCCTGTGGTTCCTACACCGTCCCAGCCAGAAACGAGAGCGAGGCTGTTGTGAAGCAGCCGAGCAGGAAAGTTTGGTTGCTTCGGGGAGGCGGAAAGGCGACGTCCACGTTTTGGGGGGGCCCCCGCCTGCCAGCCACAGCGCGCAAGCCAGGCCTCCCTCAGCGCCTCGTGGGTGTGGGTGTCAGCACCCTCACAGTGAGACCCCCTGCAGCAGGTGCATGCCTCGGCGTTGTGGGTTTGTGGGTGCCTGGAGGCGAGGAGGGTCTCCCATGGCCACGGGGGAAGAATCAATTGGGGGCGTCCCATCCGTGGGAAGACCGGCCCGAGTGGCGCCTCCACTGACGGTCTCTCTCTCCGGCGCTTGCTTGCAGGTGTGGGCACCCGGGACTACTACCGCAAGATTGGCTACGAGCTGGAAGGCCCCTACATGGTGAAGAGGCTGGACTGACGGACCCCGCGCGACGTGGGAGGCCGGGCCTGGCAGGAACGGCGCCGCCCGCCAGGCAGCCTGGTCTCGGGCGGGAGCGGCATTTCGGGCCGGATCGGTCCGTGCGTTCTGAAGCTCTCCACAGACCTGCGGGTTCCCCGAACCGGCCGTGTTCCTCGTGTGTCCCGTTGCAGGTGGGCAGCGACCCCTGCTGCAGCCGTCCCCCAACCCAGCCCCCTCTCGTTGTGCTGGACTGCAGTTCCCATCATCCTCAGCCAGCATGCCTAGGGGTGATGGGAGTTCTAGTTCAACCCTTCTGGGGGCAGTGGGGCAAGGCTGCCTTTGAATGTCGAGTCCAGAGACACATCAAGTCTGGTTTTAGTTGATCTGCAGCTGCCTAGGATTTCCTTTTTTCTCACTCCGTGTGCGCCTCTGGTTTTCATTGGGCTGTTGGTTTTCTTAGCTGTAATGAGCAGTCTATCCTCCTTTCATTATTTTTTTTCAACTCTAGCACCCGCTTGTGTCAGCAAGCTCCTTCACGAGGACTAGAACCTTAATACCTAGGACGAGGTATTAATACGAGGACTAGACCCTTCACACCACAATCTGCTCACAATCTGCCTTGAGCTAGAGCAGACTTTTGCCCCTCTCCCAGTGAGGACATTGTGGCGAGGCCGTCACATCTGACGGACTTTCGGGCCAGGACTTGCTCTCTTTGTTGTCCGGCTCCTCACCCCTGTGCTACGAGGAGGCCTAGCGCAGCTGCCGCCTTCTCTGCCTCCTGGGAAGCTCAGACCCCGATTTAAGACTCTGCTGGGCTTCCTTTCTTGACACGCTTTCAGCTGCTTGAAGTGGCAGGTCTTGGCTTGGCTCTCCCGCAGCAGGAGAGGAACGGACTGGCCCCTTCCTTCGTGGGGACTCATTTCCAAATTACTCACCCTCCCGCAAGCCGAAAATTCAAAGAGCGTGCCTCTGCTTCTGCCGGAAGACCCTGCGTTTTTTAAGGAGTGTTTTCCCACAGTGCCTGCGCAGAGGGGAACCGTTGTCAAGCTTGCTTGTTTCTCGGGTGGCGTCGAATCAGCAACGGGGCCTCTCGCAGGTGATTTCAGGTAGTCTTTGCTGTGTTTGATAGGCAGCCTGGCTTAAGCACTTTGGGGTCAAAGGCCACTTTATGGTTTTGGCTCAAGCGACCAGGAGGAGGGGAATGTCCGGTGCAGCCATCGCTTCTGCGGACTGCCTGTCGTGGGGTAAAAACAGCCAATAAGACAATAAAACTTCTTTGCAGTTCATGTCAGTGTTTTCCTGGCTTTCTTTCTAGAAATATATATGGAGAAGGGATAATGTCCCTCTCAAAAGAAAGGTAAAACAGATGAACCTGGGAACTAGTGACCAATCAGGCCCATATTAATCCTGGAAAAATTCTAGAGCAGATTATAAAGCAGTCTGTCTGCAAACACCTCGAAATCAATGCAGTGATCAGTAGAGTCAACATGGATTCCTCGAGAACAAATCCTGCCAGATTAATCTGATTTCATTTTTGGATTGGGTAGCCTCCCAAAGGAAGCTGGACCATAAGGAAGGCTGAGCGCTGAAGAATTGAGGCCTTTGAATTGTGGTGCTGGCGGAGACTCCTGCAAGTCCCTTGGACTGCAAGGCGATCAAACCGGTCAGTCCTAGAGGAGATCAACCCCGACTGCTCCTTAGAAGGCCAGATGCTGAAGATGAAACTCAAATCCTTTGGCCACCTGATGGGAAGGAAGGACTCCCTGGAGAAGACCCTGATGCTGGGAACGATTGAGGGCAAAAGAAGGGGAGGGCAGAGGATGAGGTGGCTGGATGGGGTCTCTGGGGCAGTGGGAGTGGGCTTGGGTGGACTCTGGGGGATGGTGGAGGACAGGAAGGCCTGGAGGAGTGTTGTCCGTGGGGTTGCAATGGGTTGGGCATGACTTCGCAACTAACAACAACAACCTAAACCTCCCAAATGGACTGTGGGAATGCTGTGGACATTATCTAGACTTTAGCAAAGCCTTCGACAAAGCGCCCGACAGCATCCTGAACACCACGCTAGCAGAAAGTGGGCTGGCGAGCACAACCACCGGGTGGCTCTGCATTTGGCTGGAAAAGGGGACTCAAAGAGCCCTCATCAACGCCACATTCTCAGACTGGGCAGTGGTGACCAGTGGGTGCTGCAGGGTTCTGTCTCTTGCACATTTTTTATTAATGGTTTAGATCAGGACGTGCAAGGAAAGATACTCAGATCTGCAGATGACACAAAGCTGGGTGGAACAGCAAATACCCTGGAAGACCGAGATGAGACCCAGGGTGATCTCACTAGGTTAGACTGCTGGGCAGAGAGCAACAGAATGGAATTCAGCGTGGACCATGGCCAAGTCCTCCACCGAGCAACAAGACACCAAAGGTGGTGCTACAAGATGGGGAAGATGCGGCTAAACAACATTGCAAAGGAGAAGGGTCTTGAGGTCATGGCAGGTCACAAGCTAAAGATGAGCCAACGATGTGATGCGGCTGCAAAAGGGCAGATGCTCTTTTGGGCTGCATTGGAACAAGCCTCACTTCCCAAACATGTTAAGCGCTGGTTGCACTGTACTCGGCACGCGTCGGAGCTCGCCTGGAGTCCTGTGTCCGTGTCTGGGCGCCTAAGTTTTTAAAAGATGCAGAGCAGCCAGAAAGGGTGCAGAGGAGGGCAACGAGGATGATTCGGGGACTGGAGGCAAAGCCCTTTGAGGAAGGATTCGGAGAACTGGGCGCGTTCAGCCTCGGGAAGAGGACACTGAGCAGGGATCTGATAGCTCTCCACAAGTATCTGAAAGAAACAGATTTAGGCTGGGTACCAGGAAGAATTTCCTGGCTGTCGAAGCAGCACGACAATGGAACTTGCCACCTGGGGAAACTGGGCTGGCGAGCTGGTCGAGCGGCCTCTCTCCATAGCTGCCTCTCCACGGAGGAGAGAGAAACGGATCCGCAGGCCCTGCTGTGCTTGCCCTCTTGGAGGCCGCTGAAGGGGGCAGTCCTTCCCCTCCCCCTCAAAATGTCGAGGTTGCTGCCTGGACCACGACCGTGGAGCGTGGCCTCTCATCTGAGTGGGGCCGAGGGGCGCATTCCTTCCCTCCGGCTCCTGGCACTTCCTCCATGGGTGGGAACCCATGGTGGGAAAATGCCCTCTCCCCACCGTTCGCACAAGCTTGCTCCCGCTTCTCTTCCCACAGGGATGTGGGGAAGAGATGCGCAGCTTCCAAAGCCATGTGGCAAGCCAGGCCGGGACGGGGAGGCTCAGCAGACCTGCCTGCCTCTCTCGCCCACGTGCCTGAGACGGCGTCTCTCTGGCACAGAAGGTCTCCAGGGTCAGGTCAGTGCAATTCCGTGTCCCAACTCAACAGAGAGCTGGAAATGGGGGGAAACTCTAATCTGCTGCAGAGAAGGGTTGAAACTGGCTTTCAGTTGAAGCCACAAATGGGGCTGGTCACCCGCAGCTATTCTGCTGGGCAGCAAATTCAACTTCATTAGGCTCGTGCTTCTTTCAAAAATGCAGGTCAAGTTTCTAGGCCTTAAGACTCGATGAAGGCTTGAAAATAGGTGGCCTTTGTCAGGAAGAGGTGGCCAAATAAACTTTCCAATGTGACACGGTGGTCTAAGTGTTCCCTGTGTCAAGGAGTGAGGATCATGGAAAATGAGCGCTGGTGCAGACGTCCCTCTGTGGTGATGCAGAGCCTAGCCCAGGGGTCGGCAACCCGCGGCTCCGGAGCCGCACGTGGCTCTTGAACCCCTCTGCTGCGGCTCCGTCGCTCAGAACAAGCGCCGGCACAGCCGCTGATCTGCTCAAAGCTCTGTAGACCCACACCGATTTACTGAGCTCCTGCACCCCCCCCCCCCCCCGGCCAACCATGGATAAATCGAAGAAAAGAAAAGCTTCTGAAGAAAACCAAACGTTTAATAGTACGTGGGTGGCTTCATTTGCTTTTACTGCTGACAAACTTACGGGGTTTGCAGTTTAATGCATGCAGCCCTTTAGCACTGACTTTGACTCTTCAGGAAGCGGTTCTCCTATTCAAAATATATGAAAGGAGTCCTACTAGTTTATAATGTAAGTTTTAAAAAAACAGCTTTTAGTGACTGAACAAGAGCTGCAGCTAAATCATAATGAAGATATCCATAGCATTAAGGTAAAAAGCAATACATGCAGCGTTACCTTCATTTTAGAGGTCAAAATGGTTTTGGGCTCCCGGCGTTTTCTTCTGTGTGGGAAACGGGTCCAAATGGCTCTTGGAGTGGCAAAGGTTGCCGGCCCCAGGCCTCGGCGTTGGCCTCCCTTGCTGCAGGGCCCGAGTCTGGTGACGCCTGGCCGCAGATCCCAGAGAACAGCCACGCTCGAAAGGGGTCCATCGCACTGCCCCCCTGCCCCCCGCCGCCTGCCCTGCCTCAGAGCTCCGGCAGGCAGGATGCCACGGCGACGTGCGATCCGATCCCACGACCTCCTCAGTGCCCGCCATTCCTCCTCTCCTCTCCTCTCCTCTCCTCTCCTCTGCTCTCCGCTGCCCTGCCCAGCCGCACAACGTTCAGGACCAGGAAGTGGTGCTCTTGTGCGGACCAGAGGAGAGGGGGGAGGGAGAGCGCCCCCCAGCCAACGCACCCTCCGCCCGCCCCACGGCTTGGCGAAAGAGCGGCCCCGGCTGGCCTAGTGCACCACGCTTGGCGCGGGTGGGGGTGTGCAGGCTGGGGTCCCCTCAGGAGCCCCCCGGCTGGTCGGACACCCCCTGGAATCCTCTGCCACGCTGAGGTGCCCCCCACCCCACGTGGCACGTGAGCGACCAAATGGGTGAAGCCCCAGGAGGGGTGGGGGAGGCGGCTGGGATGCAGGGGGGTTGCCAGAAGCCCTGCACCTCCCCTCCCCGCTCTCCGGCAGGCCCCCCTTTCCCCTCCGCGATCCGGGGTGTCTGCCACTGTGCTTCCCAGGCCTGCTGGGAGGTGGGGAGCGTGGCCTTCGAGTCCCACTCCCTGTGGCTGCAGGATTCGGATCTGGGCCACCGGATGACCCAGTGGTGCCCCAGCTAAGCCAGCAGCCCCAGGGATGGCTGGAAAAGAGAGCAGGGAAATCCCTGCAGGAGGAGGAATCCCTCAGGGGATGCTGGCCACGAGAATTAAGTCAGCCATCCTTGTCCAGGGGCAGCGTACCTCAGAGTACCAGGTGCCAGAACAGGAGGTCTTCGTCCTCCTTGTCAACATCCCAGGTCGGCCACCGTCTGAATGCTCAGCTGGGCTGTTCTTGGGGACGTCCCAACTGAGTGATGGGACAGGTGGGCTGGGGGCCGCTCTCGCAGCATGGGAGCCCCGCGCACCCCTCGCTGCCCCCCGGCCCAACAAGATCTCTGGACCGGCAGCTGCATTTCATCCTGAGAGCCAGTGTGGCGTCGTGGTTAAGAGCACGGGACTGGGACTCAGGCGATTTGGGTTCGAGTCCCCGCTCAGCCATGGAGCCAACTGGGTGACTCTGGGCCAGTCACGGACTCTCAGCCCAGCCTACCTCACAGGGTGGTTGTTGTGGGGATAAGATGAAGGAGGAGAATGATGTAAGCTGCCTTGAGCCCTTTGTAGGAAAAAGGCAGGTTATAAATCGCAAAATAAATAAATAAAATAAATCCTGTTACTCCAATTTTTCACCACAGTGTGTAATGTCCAGGACAGGAAAAGCCGGAAGGACGCTCCCTCCCTCCCTCTCCCCCGCCCTCCATCTGGTCTACATGGCTTGGGGAATAAGCGCACTCTTTATTTGCGCAGGGGTTTTAATCCGAACATGATCCCGTGGGAGAGAGATGCTGGCCGTCAGGTAATGCCTTTTAACGCCTCGTCCTGGTTGCCGCTTTCCCTGCCCTGAGCCAAGGGAGAGAGAGATGCGCTGGCTTCTTTCTGTTAATAAAAAGGCTTGCGAGGAGCAGTCGGATAATCCTGATGGTGCTGGTGCAGCGCAGTTGCTCCACGCTGACAAGGAAACCGGGGGAGTGACGGATCAGTCCGTGGAAATGGAGAGCGAGGCACCGGTTGTTTATCTCGAGGCGGCAGGTTGACCGGATTATCTTTTTTAATGAAGTCTCCTTGCTGTACGATGGCTGTGTGTGTGTGTGTGTGTGTGTGTGTGCGCGCGCGCGCGCATGTGCGTGCGCAGACACACAACGCTTCCCTCTGAGACGTTCTCCCTTTGCCAGCCACGTCGGACAAGGGGGCTGGTGGTGGGCGTGGTGGGTGTGGGTTGCCCTTCCTGCCATCTGCGTCGATC